TGTGGGGGTTGCAGTAAATGTCACAAAACAGAATATGTATAGATTGTGAATGGAAAACCAATTTGCTCTGTAAACTTTTACCCAAATCACAATAAAAAAAATATATATTTAGGAATACATTTAATCAAGGAAATGTGAGACTTACACACTGAAAGCTACAAAGCACCACTGAAAGAATTTAAAGATCTAAATAAATGGGAAAACATCTATATTCATGGATCAGAAGAATTAATTGTTTGTTTGTTTGTTTGTTTAATTGTGATTTGGGTGAAGATTTACAGAGCAAATTCACTTTCCACACAGCAGTTTACATATACTTTGTCTCATGAGAAGAATTAATTGTTAATATAGATTGTTGTTGTTAGTTGCCATTGAGTTGATTCTGACTCATGGTAATTCTATTTGTGCAGAGTGGAACTGCTCTATTGGATTTTCAAGGCTGTGACTTTTCAGAAGCAGATCACCAGGCCTGTCTTCTGAGTCACCTCTGTATGGGTTTGAATCACCATCCTTTTGGCTAGTAACCAAGCACTTAACTGTTTGCACTACCCCAAGACTCTTGTTAAGATGGTAGTACTCTCCAAATTGATCTACAGAGTCAATGCCCTCCCTATTAAATTCCCTACTTGCCTGTGTGCAGAAATTGACAAGCTGATCATAAAATAGGTATGGAAATTAAAGGGACTCTGCAGTGTAGTAAATTACATAGTGTGGCTTTTCTAACCATAAGTCTTTGGTGTAACTCTGTGGTGGAATTTGCCATGAGCAACTGAGTAGCTCCTGATTGTTAAAGTTACCCACCTGGGATATTTCTGTTGGGAGCAGACTGAAGCAATCTTCTGGGAAGTTCGCTCTCTCTCAGGTGTACAGAATTCTGATGTTGGGATTGGTTAGTTTGGTCACTCTGTCAGGCTCAAAAGGAGCCCTCCTAGAGGCAGAAAGAATCTCTCACTGCTGGCTGTGAGATGTGAGAGACACACATTGCTGAGAGAGAAGCAAGAGACACATGCTGCTGAGAGAGACACTGAGTGACATGCACTGCTGAGAGAAACAGTCAGCTGAGAAACAGCAGGCTGGTAGAGACTGAGCATGTTACTGAATTTGAATTGTAGCCTGTTGCTTCCCTAATAAATCCCATTCCAGATGTCTGAGTCCCTGGTCTCCTCTGGGCTGGCTGAGGTAGCTGCAAGTTCCTAGGATCCCACAGCACCTTGTGCATAGTGACAGTACCAAGGGGCAGCTGGTGGGGCTCTACCTACTTGAGGGATTTCCCCTGGACCCCCAAAATGCACATCTAAACCAAGTAAACACTGTGCTTCTAAGCAGGTGAAGTCTCTCTCTCTTCCAAGCAGATTGCCACTCCTATGCTTCTGTAGAGCTCAGGAACCACCACTGCGTGCACATGTCTCTCTTGTATATTGATTACCACAAACTGTAATTATTTATTAATAAAAAGTATATTCTCAACTAGAATATGAAGCCCCCCCCCCAACCAGGGTGACATGTATGTGTGCATGTGTGTGTGCCATAGGAGCTCAAAAAATGTTTGAATGAGTGAATGATTGAATGGGAGTTTTTAAGTCCCTTGAGCTCAGGCAACAATGTAGTTTGAATTCAACTCTGTAGGTACTAAGGAGCAATGAAAGACAACTGAGAAGAAGAGTGACATGAATAGAGATTAGAAAAGAAATATATGCTTGTGTGTAGGAGGTGGCACACTGCACAATACCCTGGAGATAATAGGCCTTAGAGTCAAGCAGGCCTCACTTCAATAAGCAGGCATAGCTCCAACACTTATTGGTTGTATGACCTTGGGCATGGGAGATTAAACATGTGGGCTGTGACATCAGGTGGTTAAGGTTCAGACTCTAACTTTACCACTTGCTGGCTGAATGATTTTGGCAAGTTACTTAACATCTTGTTTCTTCACCTGCAAATGGCAATACTGATGACATCTCCTCATAGAGTTGTTGTAGGGATTAAATAAGAAAAGTGTGAACCATTTGAAAATACCTGGCACATGGTATACTTACAACGTTAATAGTTATTATTATTATTATTTAACTTTTCTGAGTATTAGTTCTTCATTTATAGTAACATATAAGGTCCCTAGGTGGAACAAGCATCACAATAATGATGAGTAGCATCACAATAAATGGAGAGAAGATTGAGGTTGTCAAGGAATTCACGTTGCTTGGTTCTACAATCAATGCCAACGGAAGCAGCAGTCAGGACATTAGACGATGTGTAGCATTGGGGAAGTCAACTGCGAAGGAACTGTTTCAAGTGCTGAGGAGCAAGGATATCTCCTTGAGGACTAAGGTGCACCTGACACAAGCCATGGTATTTCCAATCACCTGGTATGCATGTGAGAGCTGGACAATGAATAGGGAAGACCGAAGAAGAGTTAATGCTTTTGAGTTGTGGTGCTGGCGAAGAATGCTGAAAGTACCATGGACTGCTAAAAGAACTAACAGATCTGTCTTGGAGGAAGTGCAGCCAGAATGCTCCTTGGAAGCAAGAATGGCCAGACTTCGTCTCATCTATTTTGGTCATGTTGTAAGAAGGGACCATTCCCTGGAGAAGGATGTCATGCTTGGTAGGGTGGAGGGTCGACGAAAGAGGGGGAGGCCTTCAGGGAGATGGATTGATACAGTGGCTGAGATGCTGGGCTCGAGTATAGCATGGATTGTGGGGCTGGCGCGGGATTGGGCAGTGTTTCGTTCTGCTGTGCATGGGGTTGCTATGAGTCGGAAACGACTCGACGGCACTTAACAACAACAACAACAGGTGGAACAAACAAGGTTTGTGGTCATCTACTAACCTAAAGATTGGCTGTTGGAACTCATCCAACAAAAAAAGTCATGGTGATCTGCTTCTGTAAAGATTACAACCAAGAAAACCCCATGGAGCAATTTTTACTCCATAACACAGGGGTAGCTATGAGTTAAAATTGACTCAACAGCAATGGATTTGTTTATGTGTTTATTTTTAGTCACATATCAAAGGTTGATTTTAAATAGAAATAAAATAAAATTTGTAAAAGGAAGTTTTAGTGAATGACATTTACTATTTGTGATGCATTCAAATTATACCTATTCTTCACTTATTTACTACTGATATTTACTATCTAATATTTCACATTTATGACAGTAGTACTATCCAACGACTTTGTGCATTAATGGTATACATCTGGCAGTAATGAACACCAAGGAATGAGTTGAGAGTAACCCTGGCCATAATAGTTATGGTATGTGTCATCTTGGCTGGGTCATGATTCTCAATGTTTTGGCAGTTATGTAATGATATAGTCAACCTCCGTTTTGGGACCTGATGTGGCCATCCTCCATTTTCATGTAATGCTGATTTTCATGTAACCATTTGGTATTTGGAACCTAACCATATTGGTAAGTTAGGAGTGAGTGTATTCAATTTAATACTATTTCATTAAAGAAAAAAAAAAAAAAAAAACTGCTAATGACCCAATACATTGATTTCATGATCTGTTAATGGGCATGACCTTGATTTTAAAACTTCAACCCTGTATTGTCCAAATTCTTTAATACAGACTGCACACAACTGAAGATGCTCAATAATTTGCAGTGTTGATGATATTGATGATGGTGAACTGGAAGCACAGGGATACTTTAAATGAAGTCAATTCAGATTAGTTGCAATGGTTCAGGCAGCTGAAAGACAGTTGTGACAGCAAGGATGGAAGAGAGGGGACGTATGTAACACTATGCATGGAGACTGGCCTTGGTGTTAGAGTTCTTGTGGGGAAAGTGGAAGGAGCCATGAAGACTCAAGGTCTCCAGTCCAGGGCCCTGGAAGATCGTTATGGTGGTATTGAGCCAGGTTGAACACAGAACAGTAGGAAGCAGTGCAAGTACTTCAAGGTAGAATTTAAATCACCTGAACAGAATGGGGCAATTAGCAGGGACAGTGCTAGAGTTCTGAATTAGGCTCTACTTCTATTTCACTGTGTCACCATGAGCAAATTCTTCTCTTTTATGAAGAAGATGCACGCATTATACAATGTTCAGGTGAAGGTGAGGCAGGTCCACTGACAGTGAAATCCGGCCAGCTGTGAGGAGTGAAGAATGACGCAGGAGTTGCACTTCACAGCAAAAGACAGGCGAGAATCTAAAATACAGAGGAGAGACGGCGGACTCAGGAGCAGACTCTGAAGGGGCTTCCCGGGGCAAGTTTTTCTAACAAGCAACAGGCTGCTATGGCGTTCTTTCACCACTGACCGTCCTGAAAAAGCAGTTAAGAGAGAAACTTTCCAGCCTCCAGTCGATCCGACAGTTTAAAACCCAGGGTCCTCACCGCCAGTGACCCCGCGCCCGCCCGCGGTCCCGGGCAGGGGCTAGCAATTGCTTGGTGGCAGTGGCTGCAACGCGGCAGCTGTGCCTATCTGCCCAAGGGTTAACCCATTCCGCTGCCGCTCGTGCCTTGCAGAATTTCACCAGAAGAGGGTATAGTTTGAAAAGCTCTTGACGTCAGGCTGGAATTCCTATTGTGTTCAGAAAAGGATTCGGCACAGCAAGCTCGAGTTAGCTCTCCGCACACCTCGGAGGAAGGTGTCGGTCCGGCAGCTCCGGGACATTTCACCCGCCGGAGGCGCACGCGGGGACCTGTGCTGCTCTGGTACAGACCCACCACTTCTTGAGAGCCTCGGGGAGGAGGGCAGTGTCTGCGGACCATGAAGGGACCCCACTCCAGCACCAGGTAGAGCCGAAGCCGCGGATCGGTTAGCCCAAGAGCCAAGGGTGAGCCCCCTCCGCCAGGTGGGTGTGGGTGCGCTCCAGCCCTCCGATGCCCGCCCGGAACCTGGCCGCTTGTTGCATGCCTCCCTCGCGGCGCTCCCCAGCCGGCTGCTGCCCGCTGTGACTCCCAGCTTCCTGGCAGGCGGGAGCCATAAGACTTTACCCCAGGGCCACGCACTTGTGGGATCCAGCGCACAACCCTAGGCTGCGAGGGTAGAAGCCAGGAGAATGGACGGGTCCGGAGAGTGCAGCCTCCCGGAGCTGGGCAGCCAGGGCTCCGGAGCCGGCGAGGACATTGAGATCGTCGTGAATGTGGGGGGTGTGCGGCAGGTGCTGTACGGAGACCTTCTCAGCCGGTACCCCGAGACCAGGCTGGCGGAGTTAATTAACTGCTTGGCTGGGGGCTATGACACCATCTTTTCCTTGTGCGACGACTACGACCCCGGGAAACGGGAGTTCTACTTTGACAGAGACCCTGACGCGTTCAAGTGTGTCATCGAGGTGTACTATTTTGGGGAGGTCCACATGAAGAAGGGTATCTGCCCTATTTGTTTCAAGAATGAGATGGACTTTTGGAAGGTGGACCTCAAGTTTCTGGACGACTGCTGTAAGAGTCACCTGAGCGAGAAGCGTGAGGAGCTGGAGGAGATAGCGCGCCGTGTGCAGCTCATCCTGGACGACCTGGGCGTGGACGCGGCCGAGAGCCGCTGGCGGCGCTGCCAAAAATGCGTCTGGAAGTTCTTGGAGAAGCCCGAGTCGTCGTGCCCGGCGCGGGTGGTGGCCGTGCTGTCCTTTCTGCTCATCCTCATCTCATCAGTGGTCATGTGCATGGGCACCATTCCCGAGCTGCAGGTGCTGGACGCTGACGGCAACCGCGTGGAGCACCCGACGCTGGAGAACGTAGAGACCGCGTGCATAGGCTGGTTCACGTTGGAGTACCTGCTGCGCCTCTTCTCCTCGCCCAACAAGCTGCATTTTGCCCTGTCCTTCATGAACATCGTGGACGTGCTGGCCATCTTGCCCTTCTACGTTAGCCTCACGCTTACTCACCTGGGTGCCCGCATGATGGAGCTGACCAACGTGCAGCAGGCGGTGCAGGCCCTGAGGATCATGCGCATCGCCAGAATCTTCAAGCTGGCCCGCCACTCCTCGGGTCTGCAGACCCTTACCTATGCTCTCAAGCGCAGCTTCAAGGAATTGGGGCTGCTGCTCATGTACCTGGCGGTGGGCATCTTTGTCTTCTCCGCTCTGGGCTACACCATGGAGCAGAGCCACCCCGAGACCTTATTTAAGAGCATCCCTCAGTCCTTCTGGTGGGCCATCATCACCATGACGACCGTTGGCTACGGTGACATCTACCCCAAGACCACACTGGGCAAGCTCAACGCAGCCATTAGCTTCCTGTGTGGGGTCATTGCCATTGCCCTGCCCATCCACCCCATTATTAACAACTTCGTCAGGTACTACAACAAGCAGCGGGTCCTGGAGACAGCAGCCAAGCATGAGTTGGAGCTAATGGAGCTCAATTCCAACAGCGGAGGAGAGGGTAAGACTGGGGGCTCCCGGAGTGACCTGGACAACCTCCGACCAGAGCCTGCAGGAATGGAGGGGCCTGGGTGGAGCAGCCGGCTGAAGATCTCCCACAGTGATACTTTCATCCCCCTCCTGACTGAAGAGAAGCACCACAGGACCCGGCTCCAGAGCTGCAAGTGATGAGGGGCATCCCTAGCAGAGAAAGACTGGGCTGGTACATGGATGGATGAGTGTGATGGGCATGGTGGTGACTGCCTGAGGGTAGCTGCCTTTTGCTCCCCTTTCCTTTCCTGAACAGAACTGTGAAGGCCCTCTTGGGCACCTCTGACAAGGCTGGGTAAGACTCCTTTGTGTTGCTGACAGTCCAGAAGCCTATGTGAAGGGAGAGTGTCCAACAGCCATGAGGCATTGTGGGGTGGGAGCTAAATGGAGGCTGTAGTCTGGGTGGCAGTGGGAGCCCATGCCCAGTTCTGTATCTCCTTCAATAAAGCCTCCTGCTCTGTGCACCCTATCCGAATAGTAGGTTCTGTCAAGGCTGGCTGTCACCCCAAGACGTGGCTCAGACATGTCCCATTGCCAGGCCAGGAGGTAGGTGTGCAGGGGAGGAGGGCAGTATTTTTAGCTGGGAGCTAATTAAAGAAGGGCTTATGTGCAGGGTTCCCCGCCAAGCAGACTTGCCACATACCAGGAGGCTCTGTGCTGGTGATGATTCTTTCGTTAGATTTCCTTATGGGGAAAATCTTGCTCCCTGTGCACTTCCAGGAGGAGCATGAATTCATAGAGCAGGGATCATTGAGCAGCATGGCTACCATTCATTTATTACTGTGTGGGGCCCTTTTCATGACTTCTCTATTCCTTCTGGCAACCCTGCTAGATAGATGTCTCCATTTTACAAATGAAGAAACTGAGGCCCAAGGTCACACAGAGCAGGATTTGACTCCATGTCTGATGATCTCAAAACCCATGCATTCCCTCCGGTATTAATTGGCCTTAGGGCAGAGGTATATGCTTGGGCCCATGAGTGAAGGGCTCATGAGAGGTACTGAGCTCCTCAGTATGGGAATGCCCATCCTCCAGTTCCTTCTAGCATAGATATCTTCCAGTTATCAGCTGAATGGACCATCCTGGGCACAGCCCAGATGGCCTACTGCCAAAGCCCCAAGGGAGTGGAGTCAGACAGACCTGGGTTTGAAGCCCAGGAGATGAGGAGGAGGATGCTAAGATGTATTGTAGCTTAAACTCTTTTCTGTACCACTCCCTTCCTCCTACCACTTGCTTTATTAGCTGAGTGAACTTAAGCCTGTTGATAACCTCTCTGATCCTTATTCTGGTTATTCAATGGAGTTCTTGGATGCTGGAAATGATTAAGCACTTGGCTCCTAACCAAAAGTTTGGCAATTCAAACCCAACCCACTCAGAAGTATCTTGGAACAAAGGACTAGTGATCTGCTTTTGAAAAGTCATAGTCATGAAAACCCAATTATTAAATGGGGATATAATAAATACCGAAGAGAAGCATGGTGCTTAGCACAGGGCTTGGCATGCAGTGATTGAACAATAAATGGTAGCTATTCCTATTATTCTGTGCTGGGAAGCATAAGTTGAATAGTTGCCCACTCCGGCCTTCATAGATCTGGGCTGGACATGCAGATGGGAGAGGGATAAGGGGTAGGGTATTGTATAGTCTTCACAGCCAAAGGCAGGTAGACTTGGCACAGAGTTGGCTCTGGCAGGCCCTTCTCTCTGGCTTTCCACCTTTCTCCCATCCAGAGCTCTGTCCTTCCATCCTCTGCTGAGGCACCTAGAGCTCCCTGTGCACTTCTAGGAGGAGCACAACTTCATAGAGACTCTAAAAGAGTGAGAGAGACTGTTATGTTATAGGAGGCATTGGAGAGGAGAGTCAGAATCGTCCTTTTGGGGTGCAGGACCCTGGGCCAATGCTGTGCCCCTCCCCAAGAGAGTAGAGGAGAATACTAGATCTAGTGACCATCAAAGGCAGAGGAATGAGGGAGGAAGTTTGAGGTGGGCAAGTGAGTCTCTGCAGGAGGGAGAAGGAGCTGCCTCCCTCAGGGTTGCTTTGGTATTTGGAAAGAGGGGAATGTTGTGTTATTAGGTGTAGCCTGTGTGTCCTTTGGCCTCAGGGGGGCTAAATGAATGGGGGGTTACTCCTTCTTTTTGTCCCTCTATGACCTCAGAGTCCTTGGAAAGCCCTGGAACCTGTCCTGGCCAGAGGGCTCTGAGTCTGGAGTGGGAAGAAGCTCACACATTTGAGAGGACAGGACAGTTCTGGGTGGAGAGGCCACCTTCCCTGCCATTCACCTGGTGTGAGGAGAGGGTGGTCAGAGAACAGTGTGTTTACAGCCATAAAGGCTGCTCAGAGTTCATCTATTCCATTGTAAGGAGGAGACTGAGTCCCACAGATGGTAAGATTTACGAAAGGTCTCAGATCCTTTGTAAACTGGGATTAGACAGGGTCTTGGTCCTAGATGGGACCTAGATTATGACAAATAATGGATATATGGTGATGTGCTTTGTCATAGAGGAGTGACCAGGGGGCTTTGGAAACTAGTAGGAGGGGCAGCCCTCTTTCCCTGGAGAGTCCTTCTTGGTCCTGCTTCTCAAACTTAGCTGCACACTTGAACCACCTGGGGAGCTTTAAGAAATCCCTATGTCCAGGCTGCTTATAATTTAAATGAGAATTTCTGAAAGTGATGCTCAGGCATATATATATATATATATATATATTTAACTTTAAAGCACATATGAGTCATCTGGAGATCTTGTTAACTTGCAGGTTTTGAATCAGCAGGGCCCCTGAGATTCTCCATTTCTAACAAGCTCCCAGATAAGGCTGATGCTGCTGGTCCAAGGACCACACTTTGAGTAGCAAGAAGCTAGAGCAGGGTTTGGTGGTCTATGGCTTGTGGGACAGTAGGTGGACAGACTGGTGGACGCCACCTATGTGTGTGCAATTCCTGAGTAGAGAATGATTTTTACATTTTTAAATGGTTGTGAAAAAAACAAGGAAAGAATTATATTTCATGACACATGAAAAGTATAATGAAATTCAAATTTCAGTGTCCCCAAATAAAGTTACTGGAACAGAGCCATGCTCATTTGTTTTCATATTTATTGTCTGTGGCTGCTTGCACACTACATTGGCAGAGTTGTGTAGTTGCAACAGAGATCATATGGCCCTCAGAGCCTTAAATATTTACTGTCTGACCCTTTACAGAAAAAGTTTGCCAACACTAAAGTCAAAAAACAAATCCACTGCCACTGAGTCAGTTCCAACTCATAGTAATCCTGTAGCTCATAGTGACCCTGTAACTCATAGTGACCCTCTAGAACAGAGTAGGACTGCCCCATATGGTTTCTAAAGCTATAAATCTTTATGGAAGCAGACTGCCTCAACTCTCTCCCATAGAGCAGCTGAAGGGTTTGAACTGCTGAACTTTTGCTTAGCAACCAAATGCCTTAACTGCTATGCCACAACACAAGGCTATGGGAAATGATCATTTAATTCAGGTCTTGAAGATTAAATAGCACCCTCCTGGAAGAGGAAGCAGAACCAACATTCCAAACAGCAGGGACAGGCTAGGCAAAAAGACACAACCCTGTGGGGCCCACCTTAGAGAGAGGGAGGTCTGCTCTCACGCCATAGAGAAATTACAGGGATAACAGTAAAGAGGTTTCCTTTCTGTGCCCCCTCCCAATGTCCCAGGTCTGACAGTTTCCTTTTTTTCTTTCCTACTGAGAACCCTCAACTCCTGGCTCCTCCATCAGGTTCCTACAATCCCAGCTCTCACTTTGGAAACTCACTTCTGCCTGTCTGTTCCTGACTCCTCTCATCTGCAGTCTTATTAAATCTTTGCCATCCCAGGTACCATTCCCTCATATCTTCTTCTCCAGCTTGGATGAACTGGAACTGCTCCTGTAAACATTACAGCCTAGGAAATTTTATGAGGCAGTTCTACTCTGCCATATGGCATTGCTGTAACTTGAAAATCAATTCAACGGCATTTAACAACAACAACTAATTGCAGGATTTCAGACAGATGCCAGGACTTGTGAGGAATGCTTTTGAAGTAAGGGGCTCTTGCTTCACCCTAGACCTAGCTGTGAAGGGACTATCTGCTTCTCTTAAGATCCAGGCAAACCCAGCTCTTCTCCTCTCCACTACTCTACCAAGAAGGGGTAACGAAATGTCTTGCTGAGGCTCCTGTCATCTCCTGAGGAGATAAAGCACAGGGGGTGGTTCCAGGGAGACCTCTTACCTCTTCCCCTGGAAGAAAGCAGCTCTGTGAGGCGAGCTCATTTGAATGCATTTTACCAGATGACTTAAAAGGGGACTTCACTAGTACTCATAATTTGAGGCGGAAGCTCCTTCTAAGTGCTTTTCTGCAATTAGAGAAGCCCAAGATATAGCTACAGGAATGATGTGGGTTTCCAAAAGGGGAAAAAAAAAAAAACAAACAAGAATTAGAAGGCTCTGTGCTTAGTCATTTCTTTGTTTTTAAGCTGCCAGCTAGCCAGCCCGAAGGGGGGCCGTAGTCACAGTTTTATTTCACACTCTCATCAACCCACCAGAAAAGTGTGATTGCTCCAGTTTCAGAAGAGACCCCTGGCACAGAAACTTGCCAATGGTTACAGTCTGGGATTGCAGCATGGGCCCGAGGGATCATGTAGCTTGTGTGTCAGGAGGCTGGGGTGGCTTCCCTACAGGGGCAAAGTCCTCCTCCCCAAGAAGCAAGGAGCAAGGTATGCTGTCTCCACTGCCATTCTGTCATTTCAGCTCAACCTCGGGCCACTTCCTAAGGAAAAGGCTTGGCTGCAGGTGAGAGAGAAAGACCAGCCCCAGATGGCTTGCTGACAGTCTCATGCCTTCTCCCCAAAAAACAAAATATTATGCTTGCTGACAAGGGCTTGGCTAGGAAAATGGTATCTGTGCTTGCAACAGTGGCAGCCCAGATCTGAAGAGAAGGAGCAAATATTAATATATACAGGCCGGGTTTCTGCTTGGGCATATGTTGGCTAAACTGTTGGGAGCTGTTGCTCAAAACCAGGGGCTTTACTTGCTTCTTCCTGGATTGGGCAGAGTGGGGTTGACATGACTCTTGGAGCATTGGCCCCATGGGAGGCCCAACTAGAGACCCTGGGAGCATTCCAGCATGGAACCC